TCGTCCTAACGGCTTTCATTTGGAAAAAGTGGCTCATTCAAAAAAAAATATATATATATAAAAAAAAAATGATATATAAAAAAAAATATAAAAAAAAAGAAGAAAATCGGGGAGTTGGCCTATTGATCTCGTGCTTATTATTTCATGTTTTGTAGATCATCTATGGTTTTTGCACGTACATGTGAGTGAGGGAGTTCGACTCGAGCGATCATTTGTGGATTGACTTGGGACGGGTTTTTGTTTCGTTTGATTCATTATGTGGGAACCGTGTCTCGGGTTGAATATTGATTTTGGGATAACCGAATGATAATGAGAGTGTCATTTTGCATGTTCGTTAATTTTGACCCGTTCGATATATCTCTTCGAGCTATTTGTTATTTTGTTTGCTTGAGGACAAGCAAAAAGCTAAGTGTGGGGGAGTTGTTTGTTATGTTTTTGTGCTTATTTTTATGTGTTTATTAGTGTGTTCGAGTCGATTTTATGTTCGTTTTAGTGTCGGCCGGTCCATTTTATCGCATTTTGTGTGATTTTGTATTTTCTCTTTTATTTTGTATCTTGGCGTACTTGTCCGTGCTTTTGATATGTTTTCAGGTCTATTTCGAGGATGAAAAGAAATTCGAGTCAATCCCGAGTATTTCGAGACATTTCGGACGAATCATTGTCGATCGAGTATATCGGGCCTTAGCCGTTGTCCCGCTCGCACGCACAACACTCCGCGCGCACGCACGAACAACGGCCAGCACGCACACGCACCAAGCCGCGCGCTCGCGGATATCACCTCGATGTCGAGAGTGTCCTCAAGGCCGCACACCGCGAGCTCGCCGCCGAATCCGCGACGTCGAGAGTGTCGCCATGCAGCAGTCTACGCACGCCGCGAGCTCGCACTCATTCCCACGACCTCGAGAGTGTGCCAACGCCCACGCCCGCGTGCCCGCCGCAACGTCCGCGTGCTCGAGAGTGCTGCCCAGTCCCGTGCGCCCATGCATTTCATCACCGCGAGCTCGCGAAAATCATAGCTACGTCGAGAGTGTCTCATTAAAACTGCGTTTTTCTAGTGTGTGTTTGGGTAGTAGTATAAATACATATTGTCCTTTGCATTTGGGGGATCCATCTATCATTTTTCACTTTTCCATTTTGGGAAATCAGCTTTTATTTTATTTTGCTCTCTAGATTAGGAGCTTATGTCATTTTCCGGGAGATTTTCCGGCGACTTCGGTTTCGTTCAAGTTTCGAGCTTTTGACTCCGTTTTTCATCGTCTACGCAATGGAAGAATGAGTATTTAGTTTTAAAGCTCTTTACTTCGGTTTTTGCTCCGTTTTTACTTATAATGCTTATTAGGGTAAATTTGGATTTGATTGATGATGGAGGAAATGCTTATGCTTGATGGCGTTGCTTGAGTAGATAGAGTCGTTAATTGCTCGTTGATCTAGTTTAGACGACTAGGGTTAGCTATCTAATACTCGTAGCTCGTTTATTCCGTATGTCGATTGATTGTCATCCCTTTATGGTTATGGCGTGAGACTCCGGTGATCTAGTTAGCTAATTGCTCGTCTTTTAATCTTGCTTTCAATTAATTGCTCGTTGTTAAGTGCTCGTTAGTGTTAATCAAATTCCCAATCAATTGCTTAGCATGTTTAGGATTTTATTTTCGATTTTTGTGATTTGGACGATCATCTAGTAGACGAAGCTCCGAATAGCCTTCCTTCGAGATCGACCCGAGTCGGGTAGCTCGGTTACCACATGCCCATCATATCTATGCTAAACACCAGCAACCCGCACGACAAGCCCAGCGCCCGACGCGCGTTTGCTGCCACCCGCGACCAGTGCCCGCGAGCTGCCCGCTGAACCCGACGACCGAGACCCGCACACCGTCCGTTCGTGATCCGTTTGATGTGTTGAATAGAATCAACTAAAGGCCAAACCTATCTACCCATTAGGTTGTGGTGTTCAGACGAACTTCACCAACGGTACTCTACATCGTCTCAGAGTCGGCAAAAATTTTAAAAGGTAAACGTCCATATGCTAACTATAGATTCCGCTGCGTTAGGAATTATTTCGATAGAGTTCAATGTTGTGCATGTTGTTTGACGTTCCTAACAGAACCCAACAACTGGTATCAGAGCCCAGGCTTAATGCAAACTCGTGCACAGTTTGAATTTTGGACTTTGCCTGTCTACATGAATTATGTGCGTATGGACGCAGCGGCATAGTAGATTAGAAATTGCAGTAAGTTTTTGCAGGTGTTTCGAATCCGACTATTGTGGCCCGTATGTATGGATTTTAATTCATGTTGAATGTATGCTGTTTTTAAAGCCTTGGACATGTCAAGGAATTTTTGGGTTGGTGAATGCTTGTAATAAATTATTCGCGCGGTGGGACACCGCATAGTTTATTTAGACATGGCCACGGGTTGACCCGGCCCGCCGAACCGGCCCGAACCCAGCCCGGACCCGGCCCGGACCGGCCCGGACCCGGCCCGAAAAATCCAGTTTTTGAACCGGAACCGGCCTTGTGGAGGGCCGGTCCCGGGCCTCCTTCGATCCAAAAAAAACCGGCGGGCCGGTCCGGGTTCGGGCCGGGTTCGCGGGTTTTGAGCTGCCGGTTTTTTAAAAAAAATTGGCCGGGTTGGCCCGGCCCGAACCCGGACCGAACCCAGCCCGGACCAACGGTCAAAAATTTAAAAAATTAAAAAATTTAAAAAAAAAAGACCGAACCCGGAAACCCGCCGGGTCGACCCGTAACCCGGCGGGTTACCGGGTTCAACGGTAATAAATTCAAAAAAAAAAAAAAA